TGCCTTGCTTGCCATAACATCATCTTTCAATTAGCCGTGGCCGTTGCCTCCTATGTATATTCAACAGAATCCCGAAGAAAGCAAGCTGAACACATTTCCAAATCAGCAAGAGCAGCTCTGAATAAGAAGAAAATTCATGGTAAGCTTATGGGATGTCTCCAGGTGTCCGTCTTTCTATTTTCCCTTGTTATCACTTTCCCTGTTTTGGGTGTAGGGGGAGAAAGAATTTCTCATTGACTGTCTCTTGGGGTGAGCAAAAATTGAATGTGTTTAATCTAGATTTTCCTCAGGTTCCTTGACTTGTAATCAGCACATCTTTATACTCTTACCTCTCCAGCTGTTCTCTGTGCAAAGCTGAACTAACTAAAATTGCTGAAAATGCCAGAGCTATTTAGTGTCTGGGAACTTCCCTAACTGCTTCAACATTCTTAAAGTGACTAATCTAATTGGAATTATAAGGCACTAGATAATAATGACATCCTTTGGCTATGTTCGTAGTGGCTTGTACACCTGTAATGAAATCCATAATGAAAAGGAAAATAGAAGTACATTTAGGATGCAAAACCACTTAATTTCCTGGACAGCCAGTAAAAATGTGGCATCCTGAGAAATACCTTAACTTTGATTTTACCTTCAGACACCTATGATGATGATTCTGGTTGTTGGGTGTGGAACATCAGAATAATTGGGTCAGAAGAAATTCCCATCGCATCCTAGGTTCACACAGCATTTCTCTTACTGGAAACCCAATTCATTAGTCATCTGACTTAGAAAACTGGGACTCTAACACTGGATGTTGATTTTATTTATTTAATCTTTTGTGTTCTCGTCTTATTCCTGTTGTATTTGGGGGGTCCTATCTGCTATCTCTTGTTCCTGGTGTTGAAGAGTAGTGTTCTATGGCATTTCTGCATGTCCTTGGACTATCTTCCAAGGAACATTTGTTTAACAAACATCCTTCAAAGATAGAGGCAGTATAACCATGAAATGTCTCCCTCTAGGGCAAGGTTAGACAGGTTTGCTTGAAGCTCCCTTCATAGATTGTTTTCTAGCCTTGGGATTTCTTGGCTTTGGCAAAATATCTATTCTGTGAGTTGCATCACCCTGAGCCCACTTCTGCGTGACTCCCACTCTCGCCCTCCCCATGGCACTTGAGCGACAAGGGCAACTGATCCAAACAGAAAGCTCATGCTGCCTCCTGTGTTCTCCTTAATAAAGTTCGTTGTCTCTGATCCAGAAGTCACATGTCTTCTGAGATCATCTATGAAACTAGCAGGCTAACTTGTTGACTAGCAAGTAGGGTTCAATCTCAGACCCTTCACAGTTCTTGACACCCAATTTCTTCTTTCTGGAACCTTAGCCTTAGATCTAGATGATTAAGTCCTGCTACATGATCTTCATCCCAGCATCTCTTTCCTGTTTAAGTGGCTCAGCCATATTTCCAGTACCTGTTCCCACTAGATTACTCACTAAATGTGGTTCCCTCTCTGTGGTCACAATGAAAGAGAGAATTCTTGTAGGTGTCTAGAACGGGCAGGACAGACATATTTGGACCTATTCGCCCATTCTAATTATTTGATAGTGACAGTCTAGGGCTTATGACGGAGGGATTCAGTAGTTGTATCTAAACTCAGGGTGAGGCCCGGCGTGGTGGCTCAAGCCTGTAATCTCAGCACTTTGGGAGGCCAAGACGGGTGGATCACGAGGTCAGGAGATCGAGACCATCCTGGCTAACACAGTGAAACCCCGTCTCTACTAAAAAATACAAAAAACTAGCCAGGCGTGGTGGCGGCGCCTATAATCCCAGCTACTTGGGAGGCTGAGGCAGGAGAATGGTGTGAACCCGGGAGGCGGAGCTTGCAGTGAGCTGAGATCCGGCCACTGCACTCCAGCCTGGGCGACAGAGAGAGACTCCGTCTCAAAAAAAAAAAAAAAAACAAAAAAAAAAAACTCAGGGTAAAAGGATTTCATGATCAATAGGTAGGTATAAGAAATAGTCTAGATACTTAAAGTCCAAAATATCTGCATCAGGGCTCCACAGTCAGGTGCACCCAATGCTAAACGATATGAAGAACTGGTAATTAGAGTGGTACATACATATAAAGTGAGCTATTTTTGATGATAGTGAAGCCACTATCCATTTAAGTAGGTAACTACTCTGATTATCACAAAGGAAAATGTGAGAAAATATGCCAAATTTTCTCCAATCCTTTCTCTAATTCCTCTGTAGTTGGGCAAGTATGATCCCTCTCAAGAGGTTTAAGGGTGGAAAAGCACAACTAACATAGGCATTAGTGCTATAAAGTCACTGTTAATTTAACAAGTTTATAGACTGTGCTGGTAATTTACAAAGTTTTAAAATGTTGACGTTTCTGTCTATTTTCCAGTACCAGGAAAATCTGTAAGTCTCCTGAACATTTAACTTTTTTAAAATAAAAACTGTGTCACTTGTTATTAACATATTCTTTGCTTTGCCTGTTAGAAAACCTAGGAGGAAGTTTTTCTATTAACCGGAAACAGTTCTCAAACTCTGATACACGTTAGAAACACCAGAAAAATCTTAAAATTACTGATACTTGGGTTTCACCACCCCAGATTCTCACTTTATTGTTATGTAATGGATCCTGAGGTTTTTTGAAAGCTCATCGTATAATTAAAATATGAAGCAATGATTTGAAAACCACTATTTTATAGGATTTTACAGTTAGTATTTTAAACTATCTAGAATTCAGTTTTGGATTAGTATATAGGAGGGATCAAACTTTCATTTTCCCAAATAGCCCACTTTTCCAATGTTATTTATATCTTCTACTTTTATTTAGTAGTTTTGTTTTCATCACTGACCTTTAAAATGATATCCTTACAAATATACGTTCCATATATCTGAATCTGTTTCTGGATTCTCTATGTTTTCCACTTGGCTTATTTGACAATTTTTCAACCAGTATCACACCACTTAAATTACTGCAGATTTATGGAGTGTTATAATAACTAGGAGAACAACAGTTTTGCCTTACTGCACTATTTTTTCAAAATATTCTTGGCCATGTTACACATTTTATTTTTCAGAAAACGTTTAGGAGATTTTGATCAAGTTCCATCATCTGATGTTTCGGGCCATAGGCAACCAGTCCGTCTCTGTATTACAGTTTGTGAAATACAGTGTTTTGATTGGTCACACCTGAGTCTTACGATCTAACCTTGGAGCACTGTTTGAGAGCACACGATCTGAGATCCAGAAAGGTGGTTTTGGGAGATAGAATGTGATGTCAGAGCTATAGAGTAGGGAAAAATTAGAGAATGGGGATCCTGTTACCTTGAAGGGCAGGAACGCCTCTTTTGATGCCTGAAGCATCAAAACCCAGCAATATCCCTAACTTTATTTTCCTTTTTTGGTACCAAGAATGAGTCCTGGAGATAATTTTAAATGGCAGTGCTCCAAAAAGTGGTACATATACACTACATGAAGTGGTTACAAATGAACTATTGTTATTCATGAACTCCACACACCCATCATTAAGTGTGCTTTTCAATATAATACATTACTATGGCTGCCTTCAAAGTTGTGCTGTAAAATTTCCCTACATTAACTTTTCAGTTATTGAGAGCATCCCATTAGTTTACATGAGAGAAAAGAAATTAGAAAGATAAGGAATCTAAGAAACCTTAAGAGATGGGAGAATTCTATTAAGTAAGCATAATCAGGCTAGGAGTCTCTTAGAATTGAGTTGGAATTTCCAGGTCACAAGTCCTATCAATCTCCTCCCTCTAAAATCACCTTCTCATCATCCTAGCAGATGAGTCCTAAGTCTCCACATCCTACATAACTGCTTCAACAAACTCTGATTAAGGATTCCATTGAAGATACCATGCTTTTTCCTATCTCAGGGCCTTGGTACATACCCTTTTACTGCCTAAAAATTTCCTCACCATTTTTTTCCTTTTGTCTAGCTAACTATAACTCATACATTCAATATTTTCCTGGTAGTATTTTCTTAGAAATACTTACGTAGCTTAGAGTGGCATTCAAGCTCCTTCATAGTTTGACTGCCACCTATTGATTGTTTTGGTCTATCTCTTAGTAAGCCAGGCTAGTCTCCTAAATGCCCTCCTTTCTCCTATTATTTACGGTTGTGTTACTTCCATACATTACCTGCTTGTACAGCAATCCTCTCACTCAGGAGTGAAAGGTTTTTTTCCTACGAACTAACATGCACTTGGCTTGTACTTCGTCATATTTACTAACATGCACTTGGCTTGTACTTCGTCACATTTTGGCTAGAATTACAGGGACCTGAAGGTATGTGTTGTGTCTGGATCTGCCCATATGTTCAAGGTATTTCTTCCAAGTAAATTTTCATTATTCCAGGGTAAGCGCCAGACTTCCTCATTTTTCTACCTTTCATGGAACTTTTGAATGACTGGCAAGAAATACTCAATGGCAGTGTTTCTCAAGCTTTACCCTCATCAAAATGACCTGGAGAGCTTGCTAAAACACAGACTGTTGCAACCACCCCCATCCCCCGCACCACCCTCCCCACCAAGCCTAAATCCATCTCAGATGGAACCCAAGAATTTGCATTTCTTATAAGCTCCAATGATGTTCAGGCTGCCCATGGTAAAACCACACTTTGAAAACCACTATTCCGTGACAGTGTTTTAAAAACTGGTTGCATGTTAAAATCTCCTAGGAATGGTTAATTAAGATTTTTATTAAAAAAAAAAAAAGACTGCGCTTGGGTTCTCTTCTAGACAAATCAAGATCTCTGAGGATGCCACTTTTCTCACGAAAAGAAAAAAAAATTCAACAATCTGCAACTGCTAGGAGATTTCAATGTGCAGCTCGGGTTGAAAATCACTGTTCATACAAATAGCAGATGAGTAAGCAGAGTCATGAACAAGAGAGCAGGCTTGCTGGGAGGCTAGGCCAGAGCAAATGTCATATCCTCCTGAGGCAGCGTGAGTTAGGGCATGCATCTCACATTTTAATGTGCTTGCAGGTAAGATGAGGATAGTGAATCTGGGATGTCTCTGAGATGCTGCTGGTCTAACAAGCTCCCAGATGATTCCTATCCATGAGCCCCACTCTGGGTCAGTGCATGCCAGGGATGACAAAGGCAGGTGAGTGACATGGGGCCAGAGAGCCCACATCCAGTAATCCTTTAGAATTTCAAACATAAGAAAGAAGGGGAAGTATTGGGGGGTGGGTTCCCCTGAGGAGGAAGTTACTTCTAAGCCATAGGTTTAAGACTTTAAGTGAAATTTTGGGGAAAGCATCCAGTTTTGATAAGTCTGGCCCCAGACTAAATATATAATTTCTACCTAATTAAGGAGGCAGGCACATAGGCAAAAAGGTAAATGCAGCTTCTGGAGGCACATCCTAACAGAACCCCAGCGAATTTTTATCAAAGCCTGTGGGCTTTCTCCATCTTCTTAGCTGCCTTCATTGAGAAGTAAATTTCCACGGGATAAAATTAGGATTTTGCTTCATTCCCAGTAGCTGGCATTAAATTAGTCCTCTAGAATGTGTTTGGAGATCATGTTGATGAGCAGAGATTGTCTAAGCAGCAGGTGCTACGAATTCATTTAATCATTTAACCGCACACCCTGCACATATTTCAGCTTTCTTAGGTTGACTTTTATTTGCAAAACACCTATCTGAAGGTGTGTTATAGTGGATGTCTAATTGATGGTGCTCGTCAAATTTTATGCTCTATAAATGCCAGATACGTTTTCCCCAAGTATGCTCTTTGTTGATCCATTTCTCTACAGTAAGCATTTGAAAGAAATTTAACTCTTGAGGGATTCTAGGCGGGATTCACTTTCTCACTGATTTTAGAGCTTGTGTTCAGGTTGGGGAGGTAGCATTGTAGTTCCCCGACTCAGCCCAGCATAAACCCATTGTGCCCAGACAACTCACCTAAAAGGAGCAGGAGAGTGCAGTTAGAGAGCCTTTACTCCACCCATCCAGATGCTAGGTTACCACCCATGGGCATCTTGTCTTCCCTCTTTTCTCTCTCATTGGAAGAGAGAGAGAGAGAGTATGTGTGTCTGTGCTTACGTCCTGTAGTAGTGTGAATGGTGACCCTCAAAAAGATATGTCCGCATCTTGAAACCTGTGAATATGACCTTATTTGGAAAATGTGTCTTTTGTGGATAGAAATAGAGATCTTGAGACAAGATCATCTAGATTATCCATGTGGATTCTAATTCCAAGGCTAACTGTCCTTATAAGAGACAAAAGAGGAGAAGACACACAGAGGAGAAGGTCACATGATGCTGGAGGCAGAAATGACAGTGATGCAGCCGTAGCCCCGGAAGCCTCCAGACCTGGAAGAGGCAAGGGATGGAATTTTCCTGGAGCCTCTGGAGGAGGATGACCCTGTGGAAACCTTGATTTTGGACTTCTATCCTCCAGAATTGTGACAGAATAAATTTCCATTTTTTTAAAAGTCACCCAGTTTGTGGTAATTTGTTATAGCAAACCCTAGAAAAAGAATATACTATGCATCAGCTTGGGGTTGGGAGGTGGGGCACAGAAAAAGAAAAGTTCCTAGGCCCTCCTAAAAGTCATTTTGTTTAACACTGGATCCATGCATTTGGCATGCCCTCCAAAGGCGACTTCTGCAGACAAGTTCTCGGCATCCTTCAAGAAGACAGAGCCTTTCTTTGCTCCTACCCTAACCTTGAATCAAATACAGCTTGGTGGGGCCTGAAGCTAGAGGAATTCTCAGTAGCTAGGCTGGTGGAGAGCTATCTATTTGTGTATAGGGTTGCAGCCAAAGTCTTTAAACTAAAACTAAAACCCTGTGTATTAAATAAAATACTGGACATGCAAAAGAACATTCTCTTCGGCAATCTCAGTATACCAGCCCCTCTGTGTAGTGAACGCTATCACATTTTCTTCTCACTTTTCTAGATAACCATCTAGAAAGGTGTTCAATCTCTTGGGGGGTAATCCATAGTCCTCCAGGGTTATTTCCAAAAGTCTTGTTGATGTTATCAGTGTTAACACAGAACCTCTTCTGATTAGTGTTCAATCTTACTGTGGAATAGCTATTTTCTCTCAAATATTATTAGAAAATTAGTAAAACTTAAAAATGAGCAGGTTGGGCCAATTTTACCCCTACTGTCCTACTGCTATTCAAAGACCTAGCACTTCTGTACATACAAGTACACTGCACTCAAAATGAGATTCTCTGTTTCTGCTTCTACTTAGGTTCCAAGGCAGGTAATCAGTCTAACCAGATGACAGGTGAGCAATCTGAGGTGAAGCGACTTATGACATTTGACCCCCATTATTGTCTTGGAAATACTTAATGCTACGTATTGGAAAGAAGGAAAACCTACTGGCTGTTGTAAACAATTTCTAATAACATGGGAGAAAGAAGAAAAAAGCAGAGTGAAATTTTATAGGGTGGGGAAAACCTGGAGGAAACTTTCCTTTGAAAGCCAGGAGTCCAAACTGTAGATAGGATAGTACAGAACTTCAGCAATCCCCAAGTGTTCTAGCGGAATTTAAAACAGAGGATGAAACTTGGAGAACTCTGGGCTAGGTATGACCTGCAAATATACTTTTAAAAATTCAATTAATATTTAAAAATCAGTATTTTCACATAAGATAATGACTATTTTTTGTTTTGAAAATTTTGGAAGCTCTGGCAGCATTGGGCCTTTATTTCTGCATTGTCAGGAACTGGGTTATGGGTGTTCCTTCTAGTTGAGGGGTGTTTGAGGTCCACTCTGTCATCTACCTGGCCAGTCACAGCAAAGCTGGATGTAGTTAAATATGGAAGGCACAACTGGACTAGGGGGATTGGATAAGTCCTTGAACAAGTACCTGAGGTAAAACATCATAAGTTAAAAGGAGGGGATACTGGTGTGAGTTCTGTTTCTCAAAAATGGGTGTTACGTTCTAAAATTAATGTTAATTTGGGTTCCTTTTTTCCAATTTCCCCACTCTCTGCCATACTTTATTCTCTGACTTAGCATTAGACCTAGATAAGTTAGTTAATATTCCTGTACTTTTGGTGCCTCATACACAAAATGGGAACAATTATAACTACCTCCTAAGGTTTCAGTAAGACCGAATAAGACAATGGATAACAATGACACCACACAATGCCTGAAGCATAATAAACACTTAAATGTTGGTTGGTATTATGATTGGTATTCTTTAAAAAGTGCTATTACTTGCCATTATTGACTTCTGAAATTGGAGTGTTCAAACAAACAAGATGTTGAGAGGCTCAGGCAACCAGTATGGTTGGAAATAATAAGAAAGTTAGTTAACTACCGTGATACTACACTAACCCTTGAAAAAATGTGTGGTGTTTTAAGAAATTGCTTGCTAAATTTCTGTTTGGCTTCAGCAAAACCTCAGGTTCCATTCTTGGAGTATGAAAGAGGCAGTTAAGGCAAGAAAAGTACATTTAGAAGTTTAAAGAATGCAAGTGTCCTATGGGTTGAGAAATGAGATTAATCCTTCCTTGACTAGTGCTCTTTTTACTGGCAGGATACATTCTTTAGGAAAAGGAGTTATGCTGGCTGTGGAAGTAAATAATTACAGGTGCTCTCTTATTTATTTTCTATTTATTTTTCAACCCCAGGTCCATTTTATTCTCAAATGTAACTTCTTTGCTTAGTCAACTTGGTTTTTGGTAAAATTGTTCTTAAAGCATTCAGTTTACATAATTAAATATGGTTGTGTGGTTACCTTTTACATCCCAACCTAAGGACCTCCATATAGCCAGGTGTGGCTCACGCCTCTAATCCCAGCACTTTGGGAGGCAGAGGCCGGGGGATCACGAGGTCAGGAGATCGAGACCATCCTGGCTAACATGGTGAAACCCCGTCTCTACTAAAACTACAAAAAAATAGCCGGGTATGGTGGTGGACATCTGTAGTCCCAGCTACTCGGGAGGCTGAGGCAGGAGAATGGCGGGAACCTGGGAGGCAGAGCTTGCGGTGAGCCGTGATGGTGCCACTGCACTCCAGCCTGGGTGACAAGAGCAAGACTCTGTCTCAAAAAGAAAAAAAGACCTCCATATAATCTAATTATTTTTTCCATTGAAAAAAAGACATTTCACATACAGAAGCTATAGGTAAGGATGCATTACAAAGGAATCTCATTATTTTAAATCAGCAATTCCATGATTTTTTATTCTGCTGAGAGTGGGACCTAATTCTGTCAAAGAGAGAAGGTTGTTAAGATTTGGTGGTCAGAAACACACGACTTCCAATCAAATTCAGCAGTCCTAACTATTAAGTTTTAAGACACATCTTGTAGATTTATGTGAACTTTCCTAATGTGAATTGATTACAGGGGGCATATTTCTATCTAAGGAATAATTAGTTATGTTGAGATTCAATGTTATTTGCATATTTGTGTCTTTGAAATTCCTCTGAAAACGAGTAATTTTTAGCAATTATTCTTGGTGTTTGAGTCCACTGAACTAGTCAAAAATTTATAATTGCAAAAACTTTGGCCAAATTATCAGATAGAGCTAAGATTTGGTTTGGGGTCTTAGGAATCCCTATTATCTCCTTGAACTTTGGGACGTATCTGTTGTTAGAATTTAGACAGTCAATGAGCTTGTCGAAATTTTTTTTTTGGAACAAGATCAGTGGAATGAATGGAAAGAAAGAAGGGCATATATTTGTAGAGGAGGAAAAGGAGTCATTTGCAGAAGATAAAAAGGAGGAAGATAAAGGAGAGGAGAGAAAGGGAAAATAAAATTCACATAAATTGCTTATCACTGATATTATGGAAGTAAACTATTTTATAATAATATCTACAATCTGTTGTTCACGTAGCCTTCAAAGAAAGAAAGATGTGCCCATATATAAGGCAAGAAATGAAGCAGTATATCACCTTGTCTCAAATTATAATTTTCCTTACTTGTGCAATATTTATTGAGCAATTTTATGCACAGTGTTGGGTTTAGTGGCAAAGATATGTAACAAATAGGAAAAAACTTCCATTCAAACTGGTATAGTATGTTTGTGTACATGTGTGGTGATGGTGCCAAGTGATTGTTGTAGAAGAATAGTGAAGAATGAACAAATTAGAAAGTAGAGAATTACAATAGAGAAGGAAGGTGCATGAGCTGTCTCCAGATAGCTTAATTCTATTGCTACTTTCAATGGACAATAATATTTTCAAAAGGTATTAATTAATGACTTCAGAACAAAGAGTCTTTCAGCCTAAGTGGTCAAACTAAGTTAAGAGAAAAGGAAAACTAAAACTAAAACTAAAAAATAAGATCAACTATATAAGCACCATTTTGATCTCAAATCTTTGTGGTAAGGCTTGGGAAACAGGACTTTGCATATGGGAAGATCATAAATCTGGACCTGTCAGGGATTTGAAGAGCCCATAAAAGTCAGTACTAGGTGGCTCTGCTGTGCTCCTAATCTGGAAGATTAATGGGTAATTTCGATTTCCTGATAATTCTTTATACAACCAGGCCTATACCTTTTAAGATCCAAAATATATATTACCATAAAAAGTTTATAAGAAAATCTGTAATATAACCTATTCTCCTTCTATTTTCATGTTCTTTCTTTTTCTCCTGTGGTCATCATCAGACAGTTAAAAAGAAATGGATTTTTGTCAACTTTAAACTCAAGCTTAAATAACCAGAAATAGGAATCTTCCCCATTATGTTTAAAAATGACTTTCAGTGTACCCTTTCCTAACTAGTCATAATTTAGCTTGGGAATTTCAAATATTAACATATTAGTCATTAGTTGGTATTATTTCAATTTTTTTCTTCTTATTCAAATAAATTCAGCTTGTCAGCTCTATATACTAATTACTGTCAATGGTTTTCTTTTCTCTATAATTTAAAGTCATAAAGTAGTAATAATTTAGTTCTTTATACATAGTTTGAGCATAACCCATCGTGAGAAAGCAAGGTATAATTATTACTAAACATTTTTGTTTTTACTAAATAACAGTTTCTAAATTTGAAAAACTTCTCTGTGCATGATATATGAGGCTGACACATTGAGCAACGCCATGTGCAGATGTAGTAGCATTTGAAAAAATTGGTTAAGCTTCTTGATGTTTAATGAAATTTAAGCATAAAAATATATTCATGTATAACTACCTTTGGCTTAAGAATTCATACATTTATTTGCCTGTAAATACTCTTTAAACTTCTGTTTTGTGCAAGATATCATCCTAACTGCTATAAAGCTTATAAAGACGAATCAGGTTCAACTTCTTTCCTTAAATAATTTACAGTCCAACCTATGCATGTATATAAATAATCTACCACCAGAAAATGCTAAATAATCTAAATGAGGCATTTTTAAAGTGTTGTATGAGTTAAACACATATTTGTGTGTGTGAGAGAGTATGATATATGCATACATATATTTGAGTTAAAAATATATATACTTTTTGAGACAGATCAGATATAAGCTTAAAATGTGTATATGTGCGCACATGTGCATAGGTGTATATGTGTGTAAGGAGGTAACTAGGGGTTCACAAATTTCATTAAGAGATTACCATTTGAGTTGACTTTGAAGCACAGATAAGATTTGGAAATATGGAGATAAAGGATATTTGACAATTTGACGTGGTGGAGAGAGTATACGAAGGTATGAGCAGAGTCCAGTAGGCTGACAAATTGGGGCCTGTTGAGAGGACAATGATGAGCTGTCTTGACTAAAAGATAGGAGATTAATGAGAAAGAATAGTGTCAAATAAGTTTCAAAAGTAAGTTTGTTTCAGATGTTAAGTTTTTATTATAGAAATTTGATCTTCAGTTTATTGGAATGGAGTTCGGAGTAGGAGAAAAGGAATACCATAAAGGCTACAAAGATGCTCTTAGTTAAAAGCATAATCCACTAGGGTTGGGTTGGAACTGAAATAGGTGTTTAAATTTTCAGTATCTTCAGTTTTGTTTGTTTTTACTGTGTTTAGACTGTTGGATCACACATATAAGACTGCGAAGCACTCATTAAAGTGAAAATATATGCAGATGTTTATACCCCGTATAAGGGATAAATTGAGCATCTCTCTCCAGGTATATCCCAACCTTTTGCTATGTATACCCTGAGTGGGTACCTGTGATTGAATGTAATTATCATATCTTCTAGAATGCGAGCATACACTGATTGATGTCAGACATTTGGACTGTGCTATGGTTTGGCTCTGTATCCCCACCCAAATCTCATCCTGAATTGTAATCCCTGTAACCCCCACATGTCAAGGGTGAAACCTGGTGGGAGGTGATTAGATCATGGGGTTTCCCCCATGCTGTTCTCTTGATGGTAAGTTCTCACTTACCATCTGAGATCTGATGGTTTTTTAATGTTTAACATTTCCTACTACACACTCTCTCTTCTTTCTCACGCTCCTGCTGCCATGAAAGATGTGCCTTCTCCCTTTCTGCTACGTTTGTAAGTTTCCTGAGGCCTCCTCAGCCATGAGCCATGTGTAACTGCGAGTCAATTAAACCCCTTTCCTTAATAAATTACCCAGTCTCGGGTATTTCCCTATCGTGAAAATGAACTAATACAGACTGTGGCTAACAATAAATTGTATGTGGCAGGAGGGTTTCAGAGTCTTGTCAGATAAACAGATATGAGAAGAGGTCATGGATAATTTAAAATTCCATAATAAGAAAAATTGTTTAAAAAAAATTCAAGAATGAATTGTAAGAAGGGGTGATAAAAGGACCACCTCACTGGGGACTATTGATTGATCTTTGCATTGGCTGTGCATTGCCTAACACATTGGAGACAGAGCATTATTTCTGACTTAAAAAAAATCCCTACACCAAGCCAAGCAGTGGGGTTTAGTATTAGGCCTATTTCTAATTTTTTTTCTCAGAGTTTGCCAAACATTTGATTTGCTCAGAAAACAATCATCCAAGAGTGCATTCATTGCTTCCTGCAGAAATGTGCCCTTTATTAAAAATAGTTTATCTGGGACCTGCAGTGTGTTGAATTGTGTCCTCTAGAAACGTATGTTGAAGTCCTAACTTCTGGTACCTCTGAATATAATCTTTTTGGAAATACGGATTTTGCAATGCAATTGTGTTAAAAATTGAAGTTATACTTAATTAAAATGGGCCCTAAATCCAATGACTGGTTTTGTTACAAGGAGGGAGGGGGAAACAGGGAGACACTTAGATGAACATACACACAGAGGGAAGAAAGCTGTATAAGACAGTGGGAGAAACAGATGCAGCTACCACCCAAGTAATGTCAAGTGTTGCCAGCAACCACCTGAAGCCAGGAAAGAGGCATGGAACAGATTCTCTCTCACAGTCTTCAGAGAGAGCATGGCCATCAACGCCTTGATTTCAGACTTTTAGGCTCCAGAGCTGTGAGAGATTAAATTTATGTGGTTTTAAGCCACCTTGTTTGTGGTACTTTGTTACAGCACAAAGGAAGATGGTTCAGGAAGGAAGCTGGTACAGCACAGAGGAAGCTGATATACGAAGCTGGTACAGGAGCCAAGAAATAGGGAAGAAAATAGGTGCGCTATATCATGTTTCCTGCCTGATCATTATCTCCAGTAAACAGATGTGTATATTAAGAGCCTTTGTAACAAATATGCTTAATATTTACAGGATGCATGTATTAGCTGGAAAAAAAAATTATACTTTTTTCTAGAAAAATTGTATTCTATCCTTGACCTCTGCTCAGATCTTCTGCAGAGGGAGATTTGTGGGAACACTGTGTCTTACCAAAAATCAGCAGTCACACAGGAGGCCTAGTGTCCTCCACAACCCCAGTTTGTGGGCTTAA